GCAGAGAAATTTTAAACAAACGTGAGCGCATCAGAGTCCCTCCAAAGTTTACCCTAAAATCAGAGTTCCCCACTCTTACATCAGGGTCCCCCCTTACTTTAGGGTCCCCATCAGCACCCTCTTACATTAGAGTCCTCTTTACCTCAGAGTCCACCCTTACGTGACAGTCCCCATCTTACATCAGAGGGCCAAGTAAAATCTTGCAGAGGGCCAGATTTAGCCTGTGGGCCATAGTTTGGGGACCCTTGATCTACTCTATATAGCAATCAGTAATACATTAATTTTTTTAGGGTGCTTAAACCCCTACACAGTCTATCAATATGCTAGTACTAATAATAATAATTTTAATTATAGAGTATGCACACCACATAATCACACATTAGTCCACATACAGTTAAGGTTTAAAAATTATTGTAAACTGCTTTGTTGTATTTTTAGTGTCAAATAAACATAGGCAGCATTTTCAGCATCATACAACTTTGGCAGCATTTTTCACAGTATAAAAAACATCCAAAATAAAATAAATCCTAGCCTTTCCAACAGTTACTACACAGTTCAAGTTGCTCTTTATCAATGAAATGTTCTGTCTGTCAAACCTAACACAACAATAGCTTGGACTTACAAGTCATCACACAGTCTCTCTCTGTAGACCAGTATGACCTTGTTTCCCCAAGGTTTCACAGAAAATATGGGAACAAGGACTGCCTTAGCTTTAGCTTAATTGGGTTTAATGAAACCATTTCTTAGAATCTCAGTAGTGTAAATACACACCTTCACTGCCAGATTGATTTTCTATTGCTGACCTTATGCCGGCCATAGACGGTTCCAATTGGTTCAGCAGCAACTGACCAAGATTCGAACCATGTATGGGTAGGTTGAGTGTACCCAAGTTGATCTACTGATCAACTTGGGTGCAACCAGCCTGCTGGATATTACATATGTTTATCGCTACCGGCTGGTATAGCCCCCATCGGGAAAATACATTGGCTAAGTGAGAGGGATACCCCTATCAACACTGTTTGTGTTGATGGGGGGAATCGAGAAATTTGCCCTGTGTATGGCCTGCCGTAAACCAGAAAGTATCTAATTTGCAAAGTCAGCCTTGCGCCACTTATGTTTAGAGATTTAGGGCTTGTGCACACTGTGACACTGCGAATCCCGACCCCTGCCTCTCTCACCAACTCATGCCAAAGGACCGGCCAATCGCACAACACGCTATCACTTACATAGCAATGCAATTCTCAGCTGCACCCTGCACAAAGATTTTCCAGCTCCCGGGACCACAGTCTATGTGCCAGGTATCTGAGAACGATTGTCACTGGGTTAAGTTGATTAAGCAATTAACTCTGTAAGCTACCACCACCACCTTTTGACTGAGAAAGCAGAAACTCACAATCTTCGCAAGAACAAATATATGAAAAATAAAGGTCTGCACACACACTGTCACCAAAGACAGGCATATTCAGAGATTTGTCATATACAGCTGCACTCTTCAAGAGACAGGGATTCTTTCAGTTTGCATTAACGCTGTTAGAGACAATTTCAACATTTTCAAAGTAGGGTTTAATAATGAAAAGGTCAAAATGGTGCAAATAAATTATTTACAAAAAAAGGATGTTACAAGGAAACAGAGAGACCATAAAGCAACAGAGAATTAAAAAGGAGCTGAAAATGTAGTCCAATGATCAAGCAAAAACGGTACAGTGGCTCTCTCAAGTCTGGTAAGGTGTTCCTTGTTAGATGTTCAATGAGAGCTGTCAAAATGCTTGCACTCTTTTTTTATCTAACATGAAGGGGAGTGTTGACAGAGGCCATCTGACTAATTACCTGGTTTAAGGGGTGATAGCTGAGAGGTCATCACTTTTATGACTGTATCGTGGCCCTCCCTCACACACAGTTTTTATACTAATATTAAAATCTTCCACTATGTACAGGTTGCATTCTGGAAACTGGTAGATTATTGTTCAGCATTACATTTTGTGTTCAGGGATACTGAACAGTATTTCAGATGGGTCTGTCACTCAAGAGGTAGGAGAGTGTTATCTCCTCTTTCGTACGGTCTTGCTTAGTCATGTACAGTCATGGCCAAAAATATTGGCACCCCTACATTTCTGTTAGATAATGCACCACTTTGCCCAGAAAAGTGTTGCAATTACAAATGTTTAGGTATTCTGGTGTTTATTTCTTCTGTTTGTATTGGTATGACACAAAAAAAGTGGAGAAACAAAGAGCCATATTTGACACAATCCACGCAAAACCCCAAAAATGTACTGGACAAAATTATTCTCAAAATTGTAAGAAATAATTGCATTCCAAGTTTGTGATGGTTCTGTATTTGTAATTAAACTCACCTGTATCTATTAACAGGTGCTGACAATATAGAAATCACACCAGCATCCAGGTAAAATGGTAAAAAAATTGACTCAGCCCTTCTGTTGTGTGTCTCTGTGTGCCACATGGAGCATGGAGAAGAGGAAGAGCAACAAATAATTGTCTGACGAATTGAGAACACAAATTGTGGAAAAGCATGGACAATCTTAAGGTTATAAGTCCATCTCCAGGGATCTTAATGCTCCTGTGTCCACTGTGCGCAACATTGTCAAGAAGTTTACAGCTGGCACTGTAGCTAATCTCCCTGGACATGGACAAAAGAGAAAAACTTGATCAAAGATTGCAACAAAGGATTGTTCGAATGATGAATAAAGAATCTCAATCAACTTCCAGACAAATTCAAGCTGACCTTCAGGCACAGGGTACAACTGTGTCAGCTCGCACTATACATTGCCATCTAAATGAAAAGGGACGCTATGGTAGAAGACCCAGGAGGACCCCACTGCTGATACAGAAACATAAAAAAGCCAGGTTGGACTATGCCAAAACCTACCTGAGGATGACAAAAAAAATCCTTTTTGGGGGAATATGATGTGGACAGACTAAATAAAATTACAGTTTTTTGGTAAAGCCCATCATTCTGCTGTTTTCATAAAAAGAAATTAGGCCTTTAGAAAAAAGAATACAGTCCATACAATCAAACATGGTGAAAATTCACTGATTGTTTTGGGATTGCTTTCCTGCTTCAGGATGTTTTGACCATGTGCATGGCATTATGAAATCTGAAGATACCAAAGAATCCTGGGGTGCAATGTAGGGCCCAGTGTCAGAAAGTTGGGTCCCGGTCTGTCCTTACAGCAGGACAATGACCCAAAGCACACATCAAAAAGCACCCAGAAATGTTTTAAGACAAAGCGCTGGAGAGTACTGAACTGGCCAGCAATGAGTTCAGACCTCATTGCTGGCCCATAGAGCACCTGTGGAGAGATCTCAAAACAGCAGTTGGCGAAAGAGAGGTCCAAAATTCCAGTAGAGCGGTGTAAGAAACTCATTCATGGTTACAGGAAGCGATTGCTTTCAGTTATTCTTTTCCAAGGTGTGTGCTACCAAATATTAAATTGAGGGGGCCATTAATTTTGTCCAGTACATTTTTGGGGTTTTGTGTGGAATGTGTTAAATTTGGCTTTTTGTTTCTCCACTTTTTTTGTGTCATACCAATACAAACAAAAGAAATAAGCATGAGAATGCCTAAATATTTGTAATTTTCTGGGCGAAGTGGTGCATTTACTGACAGAAATGCAGGGGTGCCAATATCTCTGGCCATGACTGTATGACCTTCATTTGTTCGGTATGATATTCCCTGTTCAAATATATACTTAATATTAATGTGTCTTGGTCCTGTTGGATTTTATGAATTGTATGTGGATTTTAAGTTGTTAAGTTTTGAACTGGGTAGAGGTTTAGGAGAGGTTTCCCTATACCTGACTATTCTGGATAGACATTTTATGGCAATCTAGGTGTTCCTAGTGCTTTAATCACCCTACAACTGAAGAATTTTGTCATAGTTTTATGATAGGTAAGAGGAAGTGTTAATCTGTACAGTTTTTATGGTCAGTAGAATCAGACATCCTTCCAGAACTCAATTACCTGTTTACAGCTCTGATCAAGGCCTGTGTGCTGGTTTCTGCTGTCCCTAAGGTAAGATAACAGGCTCTTTCGAAGTGTGTTAAAAGTTAAGGTTATGAATTCCATAGATTGCAGGAGGAGGGAGGAGGTAAGATCACTGGGCTCATGAAAGAAAAAAATGGCTGAGACCTGAACAAGATGGCTGTTGCCTACAGCTTCCCTGTGCCTAATATGCACAACCATTACACACACCACTTCAGATGAGCTGTGTGTATCTGCATAGATCAATGTAGGTTGTTACACTAGGGCACAGAGAACTGCATCCTGTTTACACCACAGTGCTGCCTTGAGGTGAGTTGCAGTGTGTTTGTATAACAAATGCTGCATTTTTTCATAGTGCGCTCCATGTCACTGCCATTCACTGCACCACAACTCAACTGAAATTAGTAATATGACAGATTTTGACATTTCAGTAAAGTAAAAAGAAAAAAACAAAGGTGAAGCGTACTATGTGTTTTAACAATGCAAGGCGCCAACTCTCAACCCAGCTACACAACGGACACCAGTGTGTGGGATGGTATGACCATGCAATAAATCCGCAAATAATATAGAGTTTTAATATAGAGTTTGGCAGGAAAACACTGTAGGAGACGTAGCAAACCGACACTCCTGGAAGAGTCAATTTTGGAAGACACGTCATCAGAGGGTTTTTTTTTACAGCGGAACCACGCTTAGCAGCACAAGCAGAAGTGTTCACTTTCTTCTTTACAGGGTGAGCTTTTTGCAGGAACCTAAAGTAAACAACAGATTTGCTAAATCTTTGCTCCGTCTACTTTGTACTTTTCTCTTGAATAATTGTTACATTTTATTATTATTATTTACATTGTTAAATTAGACTCAGAGTGGTAGAGCCTTAGTGATTGCTTAGACTCCATGCACACTGGACAGAAATTCATTTTTTTTAAATTGCTTTTTAGTTGCAGTTTTTCTGAAATACCTCTAAATAAAGGCTTCCTTCCCAGTAACAATTCTGAATTTTGTTGATTTTTTTTTTAAAGGTGCAGTACCTTCTGCAGAAGCTGCTCACAACAGCCCGGTCAGAAATAGGAGAGATGGAACTGGGCGAGATGTTGTCCTCCTTAGGACAAGGAATATCTGTCTGGCAATTCCTTGATCTTGTTACTTCACCAAAAATCCTGCGGGGTATCAGCATGGAAACACTTAGTATGGCAATCCAAGATCTGTATGAAGAAATCATACAAGATGTACTGAAGCAGGTGAGATCCTTTTCTATTTTAAAATGTATTCATGTAGGCCCTTTTGCTCTATGGTTACTAAAGCATACTGTAGTACTTATGATGGCTCTGCATAGACAGATTTTTCTGCTAATACAACAGAAGCTAAATAGTTGAAGGTTCCCTTTTTTTCTTTGAAAGAAGAAGAAATGTTATTGGTTATGCAAGAAGTTTGAAATAGAGCATAGCCAGACAGAAAAATCAACATACATGCTGTCGTGGATTTACAAAGGCAAATAGACTGTGCACTGTACAAGTGCAGTTGCACTCATTTTCCCCAGAGCTTAGTAAATGTGGTAAAGCTCTGCTGATTTCCGTCGCCCAATCATGTGCAAGTAAAAAAAAAGAAGCATTATTGGTGGAACTGCACATGGGAGTGCGTACTACAAAGGTAATCATTGGAGTTTGTTATAGGCCTCACAGTGTTGAGGAGGTGGAGACTCAGTTCTTTGCACAGATCGAAAGGGCTGCAAGGGCTGGGACAGGGATAATAATGGGGGATTTTAACTACCTGGAAATTGACTGGAGTAATGGTACTGCAGGAACAGTTAAAGGGCAAAAATATTTAAACCTTCCACAGGACAATTTTATGGTACAGTTCATAGAGGCTCCTACTAGGAATGATGCTCTGCTGCATCTGGTAATCTCAAACCATGCAGACCTTATTACGAATGACCATATAAAAGAACATCTGGGTAGCAGTGACCATAACATGATTTAATTTATTGTTAGCAAGCACATACGGGAAAAATAAAAATGCTCAATGTCAGGGATCTCCGCAGCGCATAGGTCTGCGCATGCGCAGATTGCCAAAACGCACTAACACACGGGCGCTAGGACCTGGGCACCCGCGGCGGCAGTTGTGGCCGCGTTTGCGCACACTTGTCACCAATGACAGCGCAGGGCGCTCTATTTAAAGCCAGCTCTTGCAATTCTCAAGTGCCATATGGTCTTATTCCTGTTCCTAGTTCTGAGATTGCCTTGTTGCCGAACCTGCCTGACCCGGATTATCGTGACCCTCTCCTGCCCTGATCCCTGGCTTGTCTGACCATTCTTCTGCCTTCTCCTGTTTACCTGACCTCCTGTTGCTGAACCTGGCCTGTGACTCGTTTATCCTTTTGCCTGCCGATCTGTACCGTCTGCCTCCGCTGTTACCGACCTGGCCTGTCTGACGATGCTACACACTATCTCTTCACATCTGGCTCTCACCTGCTACCTACCACTGGCAAAACCACCTCTACCACAGCTGGTTGTACTCGGGAGTCGCGACCTGGTCTCAGGCTGCTTCAAGTCCATCCCCACCATCAGGGGCCCTGGTGAAACAGCAGACTGAGGCTTAGACTCCGCGCCCTGAGGAATTCTGGCCTGTGGGTCAGTAGAGGCTACTGCCAGTCAGTCCGTGACAGAACCATACGGCCATGACTGAGCCAGGAAGAGGTCCCTCACCCTTGGATGAGATATGCCAACACCTGGCGGCACTCACCCAAGCTGTCAAAACTCTCCAAGAAGGCTATACACATCTGGAGGGACGTATTCAGACCCTAACCACGCCAGCAACCACGCCATCAGCCCTGGCTGATCCGCCTCCTGCCAGGGGCCTTGCAGGATCTTCCGCTGGAGCAGTGTTCGCCATGTCTCCGCCAGAACCTCGAGTGCCAACGCCCAAGCGGATCAATGGGGATTGAGGGAAGTTCAGGGCCTTCCAGAATTCCTGCCTATTATACTTTAACCTACAGCCACGGACTTTTTCATCAGAATCTGTAAAAGTGGGGTTCGTCATATCCCTACTACAGGGGGAACCCCAAGGCTGGGCCCACCGTCTGTTGGAGAGTCGCCATTCGCACCTGGACTCAGTTTCCTAATTTTTTAAAGCAATGGCGGAACTATACGATTATCCGCAATGAGCTGCTTCGGCTGAAACAGTTCTACATACTTTGGGTATGTGTACCTGACTCCCTGGAAGGATTGATAACTCTGGCAATTCAGATTGACTGCAGGCTTCGGGAATGAAGGTCTGAAAGATCCAGTCATGGGTTAAAACCCACATGCTGCCATGGGTTCTGACCATTCCAAACTCCCCTGCCGGTACTCGGAATCCAGAACCATCAGAGGGAGCCAAACCAATGCAACTTGGGTTGATGCGGCCCTCCCTAACGTTTGAAGAGTGCCAGGGACGATGGGTAAACAACCTTTGCCTATACTGTGGAGCAGCAGGCCACGTGGTACGTTCCTGCCCGGAGAAGTTAAGTAAATGTTCTTCCACTACTTCTGCTATGACTCCTGCTTGTGTAGATAAACCCTCTCACTTAGCCATACCGATCTCATTTCAGCTCCCCGGAAGAACCGTGCAGGTGACGGCCATTATTGACTCAGGGGCCTGCAGTTGTTTTATTGATCTTAACTTTGCAGCGCAGCAGCAGATTCCCTTACTGACCAAAGAGCACGGCCTGAACATCCTCTTGGCCGATGGGACTCAAGTTAAATCTGGGTTGGTAGATCGAGAGACCCCTCCTATATGCAGTATAATGGCTAATCATCATCAAGAACTCCTCCGCTTCGACGCCATTGCGTCCCCACTATTCCCAGTTATTTTGGGGCTTCCTTGGCTACGTGCACACGACCCCAAAATTAATTGAAGGACTGGGTCAATTCAGTTTAATTCACCATATTGCCAGGAACATTACTACCCGAGGTCACCACCAGACACCCAGACTCTGCTTTGTGCAAACACAGACACTGAGCTAGCACAAACGGTTCCTACAGCATACCACCATTACCTTGACGTTTTTAGTCCCCGGGAAGCAGACATTCTTCCCCCGTAGAGGGCGTATGACTGTCCCATTGACCTTCTCCTGGGATCTGAAATTCCCTTAGGCCGAATTTTTCCCTTGTCTGAACGGGAGTTAGGAGCCTTAAAGGAATATATTGACGAAAGCCTTCAAAAGGGATTTATCCGTCCGTCTACATCACTGGCAGGGGCCGGAATCTTCTTCGTGGAGAAAAAGGACAAATCCCTGAAGCCCTGTATTGACTATAGGGAGCTGAACATAATTACGGTTAAAAACCGTTATCCTCTCCCCTTAGTCCCCGAGTTATTTCAGAGGTTGAAATCAGCCTCTATTTTTACCAAACTGGACCTCAGGGGTGCATATAACCTGGTCCGTATACACGAGGGGGATGAGTGGAAGACCGCTTTCCGCACTCGGTTCTGTCACTTTGAATATTTAGTCATGCTGTTCGGGTTATGTAACGCACCGGCCACTTTTCAACACTTTGTGAATTACATATTTAAAGATTTCTTGGAAATCTTTGTAATAGTTTACCTAGATGATATCTTGATCTTTTCATCGTCTTTGGAGGCACATCGAGGTCACGCCAGGAGCGTGTTGGAGCGACTTCCCCAGCACGGGCTCTACGCCAAAGCGAAAAAGTGTAGTTTTGAACAGCACAGCATGGAGGGAGCCTTGCATCCCATTCTGGTCTACACAGACCATAAAAAAAATCTAGAATATCTGAGGACAGCAAACGCCTCAGACCGCGTCAAGCCAGGTGGGCGTTATTCTTTTCAAGGTTCAGCTTCCATATAACATATCGACCAGGGTCCAAGAATACAAAACCTGACGCGCTCTCGCGTATGTATGAGGACCCCAAAGAAATGCCCAAACCAGATACCATCCTGCCGGCAGGTAATTTCCTATTACTGCAATCAGAGCTCCTGTCTATTATTATTATTATTATACAGTATTTATAAAGTTCGCTTAGTGCTGTACATTACAAAGGGGGACAGAACATGTGACAGAACAATACCAATACAATGCAAAACATGAGGGGATCGAGGGCCCTGTTCCTTGGAGCTTACAATCTAGGAGGGAGGGAATAGTGGTACAGGAGGAGATAGCTGTGGGGGATGGAGTGGTAGGAAGAGTGGAGGAGGTTGGCAGGTTAGCAGGGGGTGGGGTAGGCTTCCCTGAAGAGATGGGTTTTCAGGGTGCGCCTAAAAGAGAGGAGAGTAGGTGATAATCTGATGGGTTGGGGCAGGGAGTTCCAGAGGATGGGTGACACCCTGGAGAAGTCCTGGAGGCGGGCATGGGAGGAGGAGACCAGGGAACTAGAGAGAAGGAGGTCTTGTGAGGAGTGGAGTGTGCGTGCTGGGCTGTACTTGGATATTAGGTCAGAGATGTAGTACGGGGCAGTATGGTGGACAGCTTTGTATGTCAGTGTTAGGATTTTGAATTTGATCCGTTGCGCAATCGGAAACCAGTGGAGGGATTGGCAGAGGGGGGTGGCAGAGATGGAGCGGTGGGAAAGGTGAATGAGTCTGGCAGCCGTATTCAGGATCGACTGAAGCGGGGATAGCCAGCGGCGAGGCAGGCCAGTGAGGAGGGAGTTGCAGTAGTCGAGTCGTGATATGATGAGGGAGTGGATGAGCTGTTTAGTGGTTTCTGGGGTTAGGAACGTGCGTATTTTGGCGATGTTGCAGAGGCGGAGTCTGCACGAGTTTGTTAAAGATTGGGCTTGGGGCTGGAAGGATAGGTTGGAGTCCAGAATGACACCCAGTACTCTGGCCTGCGGGGCGGGTTTGATGGTGGCGTTGTTGGATGTGACAGAGAAGTCAATGGGGGGTGGTGTCCGAGCTGGGGGGGGGAAGACAAGAAACTCGGTTTTGGAGAGGTTCATTTTAAGGAAGTGGAGCGACATCCAGTCTGATATGTCGCTCAGTAGGTGTGTGATTCGGGCAGAGACCGAGGGGATGAGGTGGGGGGTTGAGAGATAGATTTGTGTGTCGTCGGCATAGAGGTGGTAGTTGAAGCCGTGAGAGTGTATGAGTTGGCCAAGGGAGGAGGTGTAGATGGAAAAGAGAAGGGGCCCGAGGACAGAGCCTTGAGGGACCCCAACAGAGAGGGGGAGGTGGTAGCATTATAGGTAATGCTGAAAGAGCGTTGTGACAGGTAGGATGAGAGCCAGCAGAGAGCAGAATCTCT